CCCCCCCTTCTCTGAGATCAATAAAGACATATTTTAAAAAGAAAAAAATAATAAAGTTAGCCCTTTAAAAAACAAACAACTAAAAAACACAGGGTAGCATTAGGTAATGATATTTAAAGGGGCCTGTGCTGGGCATGTCTGCTTGAGCAATCGTCAACCGGGGAAGTGTGTGCAATGCTCTAGCTGCAGGTACATCAGCCACTTCCGCCCCTGAAACACGAGCCACTGGACAACGTGAAGAAGGTTTGCTTTTAGTTCAAATAACCTGCACAAACCTGGCTGTATATAAACTACAGTTACAGGGGGAAAAGCACATTCACCAAACTGATCTTTTAGACAATCTGGTTGTAAACAAAACTCAGCATAATTGTAACAGATCTTCACATAGGAGGGAAAATAAGAAGCTGAACATTTACAAAAGAGAGGCATTAAAAATTATATACACGTGCACTCAGATGTTTCAAATTAAATATAGTCTCATTTTTTAAGTTTCTCCTTTGGGAAAAGAGATTTGCTTCTACTAAACTCACCTCCGTGTTCTAGAAAGACACGAACACATCTTTCCTTTCCTCTTGCTGCTGAGAAGTGGAGCAGGGTCCAGCCATTCGCATCCCGGCCATTCGGAGAATAGCCTTGTTCTAGCATCTTCCGTACCGTGTGAACATCCCCGGCAGCCACCGCAGCCTGAATCTGCAACTCTTCCTGGAGCTCAGGATTCCTTCGACAATGGTGGTGTAACATCCTAGCTGAGTCCACTTGTTACAAAGGATTCATTAGGTCACAGGGATCAGCCTTTAAGGGTGGGCAGAAAACACGAAATTTAGGATTCTCAGCTCCTGACATTGGGGCCGTGAAATGTCACAGAATTTTCCTGTGCTAACTCACCCGCACCTTAGTGCTGACAGTTCATGCTACTACAACTGATTAACGCGTATCTGTTAAGACCAAAACTTACAACGATTTCCCTAAGATGACAAAAGATTTCAAAAAGAAATCCAGAGAAAAGCCCTAAATGGCTGAAACAGGAAATTTCCTCTGCAGCCTTCTGAAAACTCAGAGCAAACATCCTATGATGGAACAGCAGGATTCTGGGTAAAATGGAAGGTGATGCTGGGCAGCCGGAAAACAGGAGCCAGATGAGCACTTGTCTTAGGAGTTCAGATTTACCAGATGCACGCGGAGGTGGTTTAAGTTAGGATCCATTCAAGGATTCCATCACAAACCGTGAGTAAATACAAAGTCTCAAACAGCCGATTCGTAGACCATGAAGACTAAAGTACCTTTAATTATGAGAAGCAGTTAAAAAAAAAAGCGCAAAAACCTTCAGGCTGGTTTTCTAAAGTATTTTAACACTATTTTCTTTTAGCCCCAAAAGGTGGAAGGTTGGGGGGAAGGAGAAATGGGTGGGGTTAAGTGATTTAGAGTAAAATGTGTAGATTATATTTACTTCCCTTTGTTTATTTCTTTCTTTTCCTATCCTTCTCTCTTCATGTTACTTGATGCTCCTTTCTCTGCATATCCTTTACATTTTTCCTATTTCAGTTTTCCAGAAGTTTCATTCTATAAGTACTCCAAGTATCGAAGTCGTACAAAATATTTAAAAACCGCAAGAATCTAAACCACCTGTTTATTAACCAGATGAAAAAAATATTGTAAAAGAAAAGTAGTATACTGAATCCCCCCACACTCTCTAATAATCACAAATGTGAGTAGTCAAACTCAGTATACAATGAGAAACAGAAAAGTCCAAATTGAATTGGTGAAAAGTTGCATCTTATATGTGTGCGCGGAGAAACTTTTTTAGAGTATTTTTAAGCTTTTAAAAGACATACAGAAACTTAAACTAACATTCTTCTAGGAGGCCATTCCATCTGGGCTAGTTTTAAGGAATAGATCATAATAGTAGACTTCCATTTCTAAAAATAAAAAAATTATGTGATAAAGTTCTTTAAAGACACTTTGGTCTATTACGTAGGTTAGACACCTTGGGATAATCTTGTTGCCAGTAATAATTTATTGTGTAAAACTACTTATTATAACCCCGGCCAGTGCGGCTCAGTTGGTTGAGGTCGCTCCATGCACCAAAAGGTCGCTGGTTTGATTCCCAGTCAGGGCACCAGAAAAAACCCCCACAAAAACAAAACTTATTATAGATTGTACAAAGGTAAACTTAAGCCCAGCTTAGGCAACATCACCACAGCCTAAGAGTATAATCAAATATCCTATGTTATCTTATACGCAGAAAATGGTTTTTTACAAACTCCTAAGTATCGTTACTAAGTACTGTCATTTAAAAATATCAGGCTAGCGCAGCCGGGCATGGCTCAGCGGTTGAGCATCGACCTGGGATCCAGGCGATCGGGGTTCGATTCCCGGTCAGGGCACAGGCCCAGTTGCAGGCTCAATCAATGACTCTCTCATCATTGATGTTTCTATCTCTCTCTCTCCCTCTCCTTTCCTCTCTCTGAAATCAATAAAGATATAAAATATATATATCAGGCTACTTCTACAAAGAGCCATTTCCTCAGGAAAACTGGAAATGAGAAATTTCAAGACAACTTATTTTCTTAAAAACACGATTTCCCTCCCACCTCTTCACTTAATTACTTTTTTCAACTGACGCTAAAATCAAGTCTCTTGTTTTAGAAATTTTAAAACCAAAAATCCTTTTCAAGTACGTTTTTGTGTGCTATTAGAGATTTAAGAGATGTTGAAAACCATGAATCTGTGCTCAAAACAACCATCTTTAACAGATTTAAAAAAAAAATTTTTTTATGGGATGATTACCTTGGCACTCAAGTGAGGGCTACTCTGCAAGAAAGTCAAACAATGTAAAAAAAAACTTGGATTTTCTTGTGGCAAGTGCTGTGTTTAATATACACGAGCTGATTGGAGGGAGAAAAGTAAAAGCCAGAGGGGTTTCCCCCAGAACAGTATAGATGACCACTGACCTGCTGTCACTTACCTTCCAGAAGAATGCCCCTTTTCCTGATAGGTGGGTTGCCTAATAACCATTGTGCACATACAGCATCTTGGGGAGGGGACTCAGAGTGTGTCCAGGTTATGGTGAGGATCAGCTTTCTTTACCTAAAAACAAATAACAATCATGGGGAAACCCCTAAAAATAATAAGGAATCATGGCTGCCTGCACCGTCTACCTTTTGATGAACTTAAAATTTCAACACTTTACACAGTAGAGAACGAATGCAGGTCAAGCCTTGACAAAATGATTCTGAGACCTACATTCATCTCCACGGTGGCACAAAATAATTTATATGCAGGAAATTTTCCCTAAAAAGGCAGTTTTTAAATTTTTGTTTTAAAGAATAAAAAAAATAATAAAGCATGCATTTGGAATTGGGCTGCAAACGAAGGTTCTTCTTTTTCTCCATTCAGAATGCATTTTCAGACTTGCTTTATTTGAATTACTTTTTTAAAAAATCCCCACCTGAGAATATGTTTTTTATTGATTTTAGAGAGAAAGGGAGAGAGAGAGAGAAACATCAATCAGTTGCCTCCCGTACACCCTGGACCGAGGATCAAACCCGAAGCCTAGGAATGTGCCCTGACTGGGAATCAAACCCCAAACCTTTTTGGTGTCTAGGACGACGCTCCAACCAACTGAGCCACCTGGCTGGGGCTAAATTACTTTTTAGCTGACACTGTTAGTCACTCGTTTTTTCTAAACAGGACTAAAATGAGAGAATATGTGTATTCAATACAGTAGGTAGCAGAGCCAAAATGGAATTTATGACAAGTAAAAGGAGATCATGTCTTTAACTGCTGGTTCTTCTTACATCCAAAAGACATCATTTTGAGACTTACTCCTTTTTGCATGCACTGAAACAGGTAAACGATCAACAACAGTCTTGCTGGCTTCCTCATATGAATTCTGAAAAAATTCCTTCTGCAACTAAAAGAAAAGGGATCTTTCTCCACATCAATCAAATCCTAGGTCTGTGAATTCCACTAAGGTTCAGAACACATGCAAAGTGACTTCCACACTCTAGGCCAGAATCACTCCAGGAATTTCTCATTGGGAGAACTGCCACCCATCCCCGTGGGGTGAGTGTGCTAAAACCTTCTGTCACTTCAACATGAAAAGGCTGGGCCACCTGGGAAACTGATGTGCTTCAGCGAGAGGTGGTGGTCACAGGTGCTGCTGGCTGCCCACTACAATTGTCAAGCAATCCAAATGAGTCCAGTCCACTTGGACCCTTTCCTCTTTCCACACCTGGTTTTTTCTCGTTAAACATCTTCAAGGAAGACCAAAGACTGTGCCAACATGCACTTGGAAATCATATTTGATTTAAAACTCTGCCCATTATTTCTAAATGAATGATTTTTTTTTTTTTTTAGACATCAGAACAACTACAAGGAGTTGTAAAAAAATGCAGAACTATCCTTACACAAATGCTGATTCTGAGACTGGTGCAGGAAATATACAAGATGAGCCTCAAGCATCTTACAGGAAGGAAGTGATCAAAAACAGTGCAATGATGGGGGATGTCAAAGGGACACAGGAGACAACTAAAGAGCTCTCAATAGCCGAGATGGAAGAAGATAAAGGGCTACTGGATTCTAACCCAAAGTATAGAATAAATAACTGATTGACTCAATAAACAAAGGGGGGGGGACCTCCTGTGCAAAAATCCAAATAATTTGTGTAGACTCTCCCCTTTCAAGAAGGTGGAGTGTCACCCCCCACTCCTTAAGTGTGTGCCATGCATATATGATGACTGCCTTCCAAAGAGGACAGTAGGGAATGGGGTAGGGTGGGGAATGCAAGAGAAAAACACTGCTTTATCCAGGTGTTCATGCTCAGTATCAATGGCACCAAGTCATGTTAGCATGATGTGATACATGATATATGATATGCTAGAAACCTCACTCTAGTCATGAGAAAAACATCACACAAATTGCAAATGAGAGACATTCTACAAAATACCTGACCAACGCTCCCCCCATAATGTCAAGGTCATCAAAAGATAGGGAAGTCTGAGAAACTGTCACAGCCAAGAGGAGCCTAAGGAGACAAGATGACTAAATGGAATGGGGTGTCCTGGATGGGATCCTGGGACAGAAAAAGGGTATTAGGTAAAATCTAACAAAATCTAAATACAGTATGGATTTTAGTTAATAATAATGGTCATTGTGACGAATGTATCTACTAATGTAAGGGGTTAACGGGAAATTGGGTGTGGAGCATGTGGGGATTCTGTACTACTTTACAAGTTTTCTGTAAACCTAAAACTATATTAAAATAAAAAATTTAGCTCTGGCCAGTGTGGCTCAGTTGGTTGGAGTGTCATCTCATACACCAAAGGTGGTATGTTCGATTCCTGATCAGGACACATATCCAGGTTGTGGGTTCGATCCCTGGTTGAGGTGTGTGTGGGAGGCAACTGATCGATGTTTCTCTCTCACACTGATGTCTCTCTCTCTCTCTCTCTTCCCCCTCCTCTCTCTAAAAAATCAATAAAATATAAATAAAATAAAATGGATTTATTTAAAAAATACAAACCAATGTCTCCAATAATAAGCCTCCACTATTTCCACAAATGAACAGGTAATTCTTTCTCCGGTGAGCTACACCTACATTTCAGCAATGAACAGCACTGGATGCCTCACTTCTAAGTAGGTCCTTGGTACATCCTGCCTCCCGAGGGAAGTGGAGGTGACCCTTCATGGTTTCCATCCTTAAGAATCCTTGCTACTGTTGTTGCCGCCCATCTATCCATCACCACTTCCATGGAGGCAGTGGGGGTAGTGGACATGAGGATGAGGGAGGTGCGAGCTAAGAACAGGAATTGATTGATTGACTGATTAAAATGATCAAGAAAAGCCTTTGTGTTAAAAGAGGAAGTAACTAAATTATTTCTCTCAATAAGAAAGGGGCCCAAACAACAATACCTTGTGATAATCCCATATGGGCTACTTCAATCAGACAACAAAGGTCTACTGAGTGCCTGGCATGAACTTGGCCCACTATTAGGCCTTGGCCACTGGGACTACCCCTGGACAGAACTTTGATAGTTCTGCCTACTTAAAATGAATCAGATGGTCTTAGAAACGTTATATTATTTTTCCCTTTTCTCACAATACCAATCACTATAAATAATAACCATAGGTTAAAACCCAAAAAGCACTCTTTAGGTGCACTGATTGTCACATGGACACACATATCATGCACACATGATCCCTGGCAGCTGCATCCCTTAAATTATGAAGGACAGTGACTCATTACCAAATGTCCTAATAGTCTGAAGCATCAAACAAGCAATTAATTTTATCTTGGTGCTATTTTATGGGAGTTTGCACTTAACAGAGTACAGCTATCCATGTGTATATAAATAAAGAAAAAGAGAGGATTGAACTTAAAAAGTAAATACAATATCCAGTGGTAAAAGTGCCTATTAAAAACCACAGAGGAAGTGCAGAAATGAGAAGGGGAAAAAAGTCTATTTCCCCTCAAGGAGTACAAGTTTGAAAATCTGACAGCTCATGGAAACCACCTATAAAATAAAAGAATATGGCATGGGAGGCAAGTTTCTAAATAAGTATACGTACAATGCAAGGTGTTTTAAACTAATAATGACTCAGAATGACTAAAACTCTGAGAGTGCAATCTCAGAAATTCTACTCGAGGTTTCAGTTAGAAAAAAAGAAAGAAAAACATACCAACAAGGAAGACTTCAGAATTACATACTAAATGAGCCACTTCCCGGATGTATCTTTTTATACAAGAGTTTGTTGCCCAAGGTTAATACTATGTTTAAATTTGATGAATTCATCTTTTCTATTCCACACGGGGTCAAAAGATAACAAAATAGGCCTCCAAGCTTTGATACTGTTGACCTTATTAGAAACTATAAATTTACAAATTAAATGTTACCATCTAATTTCCATATGGATGCCAAGTAAACTTCATTAAGTTAAAATCAAAACTTCTTGCTTTGTATAATTAAAAAAAAAAAGGTCTATATCCATAGAATGGCGTGAAGAATAACTATAAAACAAAATATACTTAAGACCTGTCTAAAATTATATAACTTTCACATTTGCCCACATGTCCTCAATTTCCTTTCTCATACGTGATTAGTCATTAATGGCTTTTTGCATATTATTTTCACTGGAAGTCCACACATTTTTTGATTAAGTGACACAAATTAGAGCTGTGCTTTCAGATTTCACACAAGCTAGGAACAAGATAACAGCTTGCTATTCAAAAAAAGAAATGAGCCTTTCTTTGCAGAGTAAATAGAGACACAGGCTGGTAAGGAAATAAAATCAGCAACTCCAAGGATATTGGCTCTGAGAAAAAAAAAACCACCAATGGCTCACAAGTCCTAAAAGGGGAGATGGACGCAGAAATCCTATAGGGACCAAAGTGTGGAACATGGCTGAGATGTATGTTGGTGAGTTCAACTGATATGATCAAGAGCCTGGGACCCCAAATAAAGCAGAAGTGTGATGTTAGTATCACTCAACATAGCATGTTCTAAAACAAGTAAGGCCCAATTCCTGGACCTCCATATAACACAAGGATTTATTATCATGCGCAACTTGTCTATAACTCTCCTAAGTTCATGGAGAAACACCAACGATTTTCATGAAATGGGGATGAGGCACTAGAGGCAATGTGATAATTCACTTATGTAGATCCAACTCAAAGTTTAAATCGCAAGAATGAGAAATGATGAGGTCCTGTCGATACCATCTTAGGAGCCCATGCCTGGCATTATCATCTCAGTAGCCTCATGTCAGTACCTAGAAAGTTTGCAAGAAAGGAGATGAGCATTCTACTTAAGGATGCCTTCAGTTGAGAATAAAAAGAGAGGCCGAAAGTCAGGTATTAGATATGCTTATATAAACTTCATCTGACTTTAGACTTTTTAAGGAAAGTATGTACTTCTGTTACCAAAGTTAAATGTGAACAAAATAAAGAGATATTGTGTGTGTCATAATATTAAATAACTGTGACTGGCATCACTTTAGGTATAAAGAAAAGAAGTACTGACCAGAGATACTCAAGGTGCATCACTGAATATTTTCAGTTAAAATCAGTTATTTCCCCTATGTGATTATGCATCTATAGCGTGTCCCAATAAATGTATACGCACTTTGAATAATTATTAATTCCAGTGCGTTAAATCTGAAAAGAAAGAAACATCAACTGAGCTATCAGAAAAAAGTGTGTATATGTTTTTAGTTTATATTTGGTTATCAAATAAATCAGGTGTTTTTTGATTTCTTTTTCCTTTCAAAACCACGTAACTGGCAATAGAATACAAAATTAACTACCAGGCCGAAAAAATTAAACCACTTAACTGGTCATTTTGGTAAATAAGTACCCAAATTAAACATTTCAAACGTTTGGCATAACCTAGACCAACTACTTTCAATCATGCTAATTAATATTAGGAACAGATGCTGACCATTTCGATGTACTCCCTAATCTTAGAAAAACCATTAAAAGTCATGGGATCAATGAAATATCATTTAAAAAGCAATGAGAATGAACCGGCTGAGAAAAAGCAGTGTCCTCTCTTTACCTTATATGTCTGACTTATCTTGGGTGATCACACCTCTCAGAAAGGAAAACATGCCGGAGTTAAGTCTAAAGCAGAAAAAAATACTTAACTGAGAAGGCCTGAATAGAAAATACATAGTTTGTTTTTACCTTAAAAACATCCTTCAAGTATTTTAGCATTTTTTAGAAGTCCTAATTATTAGGCATCTCTCTGGTGGTTCGCACACCTAAATAATAGAAATTGCCTCTAACTTCACAGACTTCTCCACCCAGCTTTTACCGAAAAGAAGCGGAGCCTACACACTTAGACACACTTACAAAGGCTGCCCTAAATGTTCGCCACGGAACAGTCATTGGAAGAAACTGATTCTAAATCCCATTCTGTTGCGCACACTCTCCCTTGGTCTCACGGCTATGCAAACCCTCAGAGCCCCTTAAAATTCTCTCTAGCTACATCTTTAACAACTGAAGAACCAAGGAAGACATTAACTTCTTTTTGTGGAAGGGAGAAAGTCCCGCGGGACAGAGTAAATCAAAGACGTCCTAACAACTTTCTGCTATTTTAAGGATGTCTTCCTACCTAAAATTCCCTAGACAGTCTGAGACGTTAAAATAACTCCGAAATTAACACGTCGCTCGACGCTCACGTTCCTGAAGATGCTAGAAAAGTCATTCCCTTGGCTAATTTCTGAACTGACTCAGATGATTTCCCTGATCATAGCCACACACACACACACACACACACACACACACACACACAGACTTTGGGAATGACACCGGGCGTCCTCAACATACCTTGAGTGCATTTTCCAGAGGCAGCAACAACCCAGAGCCGCAGAAATGCTCTCGTTTCAATGTAACACATCGTCTGCGAGGGTTTCGGAAATGAATCTCATTCAGGGAGCGCGCGAAAATAATAATAATAATAATAAAATAAAAAGCCCTAGGTTCTAAACCTGCCAAAAGATGCCTTTGTTTTTAAGTCCTGGGGTGTCCAACGACTCACGAGACGTCAAGTTTTATAAGCTGCAGAAAAGCCGAGGTGTCACAAGTGCTCGTGACTGTGTTCACAACAGGTTGGGGGGCCCAGGCACACCTGCCGCAGGGACACGGGCAGCAGCCTGCAGAGTTCACGCCGCCTTCTCGTGGGTCCCTGCCCTGGGAGGCAGGCGCACGGGCTGGGCAACAGTCGCATTATTTTCTGAAACTGATACATTTCAAGCCACTACGGTAGGAGCTGCCCCTACAGCAAACCAAGGCACTCAAAAGCTTCTCTGATGGGAAAGTGGGAGAGAGGCGAGAGGGAGGCACGAAGGGAAAGCAGGTTTCATTAGGAAGAAGGCTCCTTGAGGATGAAACAAGCAATTCACAAGGAATTGAGGAATTCCTAGGAAATCAGGGGTGACGGGGTGAAGGGGGGACAGGGCTACAAAATAAAAAAAAAAAAAAAAAGGTCTCCAAGTCTCAGAGCAGGGTCAATGGCACAGTCACCAGAAGATAACGCACGACACGGAAACGCCAGGCGGAGGGGAGGGGAGGGGGGAGGGGGAGAGGCGTCCAG